CATATTATAAAAGGAATAAGACACTCTGAGCAGTCTGTTGTTTAATAAACATACATACCTGAGAAATATTGCAGGTTCCACTCCATACTTCTGCAAATGTCACAATAAAGCCACTCCTAGGACTTTCTGGGTCCCCAGTACATAAAAAACTATTCCATCACTATGTAGACACACCTCATTTTATTATGCTTCACAGATATTCCAATTTTTACAAATCAAAAGTTTGTGGCAATTTTACTTTGAGCAAATCTATCAGCATCAGTTTACCTTTTCCAATAGTATGAGAGGGTACCCCCCAAAAAACCCTGGAAAAATCCACTGGGAAGACCACTCATAGTATTCATTTTTCCCACTAGGCAAGCTTAGAGCCACCCGCTCTGAGTTAGTGAACCCAGTGGCATCTGCTGGGAAGATTCTCTGGTCACAGTGACTTTTTTGGTAAAAGCAGTTTTGCTCAAACCTCATTTTTTGTGATGGCCAATTCAAGAGAACAGCATGTGGCTGTGAAATTTTGTTTCCTGCTAAGGAAAAATGCGGCAGAAACTGTTGTGATGTTGAACACAGCTGACAAGGAAAGCGCTATGGGAAAAAAACTCAAGTTTTTGCATATGTTAATAAGCACAAAGTTCTTCTACACACATTACCTCCTTTTAGCAAATCAACAGCACCATGGGGATTTAAAGATAAACATTATGTCAGCATACATATATTCTTAAACCAAAGCAACAATAGGGATTAAGTGACTTGCTTAAGAACATGCAGCTAGTAAATATGCTAGCAACATTTTCAATCCACATCTGAAGTATTTTATTATTATTTCACAAAGAAAGTCTCATTACACTGAAATGTAGAAAGAAATGCCCATGGATTTTACTAATTCTACACTTACAGGCATACCTTTTGAACTGTTATTACTCCCTTCAGGTTAAACATTTGGTTAAACTCTAAATGTGCCTCTGTCCTGGGGAAAAACATGAAGGCTCAAAACAGATAATTTATGCATTTCAGCCTGTTGCTGTGACTGCTGTCAGTAGTTGTACTTCTGTAAATACGGTATATACTTGAGTATAAGCTGAACCGAGTATCAGCCAAGACACATAATTTTACCACAAAAACTGCATTAAAAATGTGCGGGGGGGAAAAAAACTCAGCTTACACTTGATTATATATGGTATGCATTTCTGGCAATTTACAGAATCAGTAGGTAGGATGAAATGGGGATTATTGATAGTAAAGTGCTGATATTGATTTGCCATGGTGTGATTCTTCTTGGAGGAGAAATCTAGCAATTACAGGATGATGTGCACATGGCAGAGCAAACCACAGTGGTGGCTATGGACTGCTAATCTAAGCCCTAGAGAAAGGACTGAAGTAGAGAAAGAGACTGACGTAATCATAAAGGAAGTGATGTCAGAAGCTGGGGAAAGGACTGTGTATCATTTGAAAAAGATGTTAAGAGACTTCGAAATCACCCAACCTCAATAAGAATTACTACAAAATAATAATAATAAACTCCAGCGAAACAGAAATTATTTCCATAAATATTTTCCTTGGATTTTATGGCAAACAATATTCAGGGGAAAAATCTATGTCAATTAGCATAAAAATAGTACATAGACAATGTTCTGCATCCTGCTTCTCTCTTCCGTTTGCCTTGTCCAACTTTCACATATATATGAAAAGACCATTTCTGGGATCAAGCACACCTTGGTCATCAAAAAGACATTCTTGATCTTTAGAACTTCAATATCCTTTAATATCTTGACTGCTGCTTCCATGGATGTTAATTATTGATATAAGTAGAATAAAAACACTGACAACTTCAATCATATTATTTATTATTATGCTGTGTATTGTCCATAAATAAGTATTTTCCCATACTTCACATTCAGATATAGTTCATATTAAATGCAGTCGTCTCTGATCTTCAGTAGTATTTATAGTCATCTTCATTTTCATGAAACAAGAATATGTGATCTGCTTATGATTGTGGATGGATGCTAGGATCGGATGAGTCTTGGTCCAAAGCAGAGAATATCATAAGATATTTATCTCTGTTTTATTGAGAATATGAAGGCACTGGACTATGTATCATAACAGATTATAAGAAAAATTAGAATTCTCAAACACTTAATTGTACATGGATCAAGAACCTGCATATGGATCATGAGGGTGCAGGAAGCCACAGGGCTCAAGATTTAAAAGGATAGGTGGGAGGTTTGTATACTTTCATGTTGTTAAATTTATATGCTAAAAACTAGAATATTACTATTTAGAAGGTAGAAGAAACAAACAAACCAACAAACTGTGCCATGCAGTTAATGCTGACTCATTAAGACTCCCTAAGACAGGGTAGAACTGTCGCTGTGACACTAATTACTTAGGGAGTGGACAGCCTGTCTTTCTCCTGCAGAGCAGCTGGTGTTATTGAGCTGCCAACTTTCCAGATCGCAGCCCAATGAATAACCCCTCTTACACCAGGGGAGAAGAAAACAACCAAAAACATCATTTATGGTATGTGAGAATTCCTAAGGATTATGGAGGGAAAAAAGAGGCTAAGGGGAATCTGGAGTATGAGGGGCACGTTACAAATCTTAAAAAGAATGAGTGCTCGAGTCAGCAGCACATAAACTAATATTGGAATGACACAGAGAAGGTTAGCATGGCCTCTGACCAAGGATGACAAGCACATTCATGAAGCGTTCTACATTAAAAAAAAAAAAAGATCAGAGAAGGTCTAATTGAATTTTCATGAGTAACATTTGAACTAGTTAAATTCTCAATTGCCAAACTACAAAAAAGGCTTTATACCCAATTTTAATAAATAAGACTTAAGAAACTAATTATGCCTTATTTGATGCATTTTCCTAGCATGTTTATTTCAAACCCCACACATACTTATAGAAGTATTTGGGCTACATGAAATTGGGAAAAATGAAGGGCCTTTCTTCTTAACATGAAAATACATTTTACTACAATGAAATTCCTATTGGTTTCTACAGCTTCATTATTTTAAACCATTTTTCTACTCAATTTGCTTACTTTTCTGTAAAATAATAAGAATATACTCAATGTTTTATGCCCTTCCTTTCCAAACTTCAGGTAGCGTTTAAGTCTTATTTATTTGTTTTAAATTTTCAGCTGCTGATGCCAATTATTTTACTACTGGATAAGACAATAAAAAAGTAATAAATGAATGCCACTTTTGCCTACTTAGATTTTTAACAATGTTATCATTTTGCTTTTCCAACCTTTACAGTGACAGCAAGTTACAATTACATAAAGAATAATGTGTGTGGGTTTCTCTAAGTTCCTAAAATACTTCGAACATACTTAAACGTTCTTCTTAAATATGCAGAGTTTCCTTCTTCATGAAAATCACTCTGCCACTGATGGATATGCTACAGGGCAGTGTGATCTTTGTGAGGATAAGTTGGGTATGGTAGCATTTTAACAGCGGGACACATCGGTCTTCAAATGCCACTCTGAATGAAACCATGTTGCATTTATCAAGTGAACTCTCAGGTGAGGATGTAAACAAGAATAAAATAATCATCAAAGGAAAGAGTTTTAAAGTTGACAAAGTGATACCAATTTTTCCTTTCTGGATTCCTATTCTCTTTTCATTTTATTAGTCATACTGATTTTCACTGCATTTAGTAAAATATGAGGTAACAGAAAAACTATATGCTGGTTCTTGGTTTATGTTATATTATGAGAAATACATGCTATGTGATATATGGATATATTTTGGGTTTGCAATTAATTGCCTTAATCTAAGAATAATTTATTCTTATAGCATGTCCCTACTCAATACTTAGCCCTATGAAGTAATCACTGAAGATATGGGTGTTCCAGCAATGTGGGAAAGAAGGAAAGGTGCCTGGCTATCAGAAAGAATAGCTGGCATCTTAAAGACGTGTCTTAAAACAAGCAGCCATCTATGTAAGATATTGGGTAAGTCTACACATAAGAAACACATCAACCTGGGTGATCAAAAATTGTAACAATAAATTCAAACCCAGAGGAAAGAATGGTATTAGAGTGTGAATTCAGAATACTCAGTTTATGGAAAGCTGCAACAGACAATGAATGGCCAAAACTTATTTGCAGGGTCCCTCATGTGGATTAAGCCTTGGGTGAATCCCGTCTGATGATGGGCCAGAAATAGGTAAGACCTTCAGACAAAGTACATTGAAGGACAGATTATTACAGTTGTAATATAGTCAAAATGTGAAACATTGTCAATGATATCCCTCTTGGTCCAATGTATAATTGCTCTAGTTTTTTAAAAATATTTTTGCTTTGTTTTTGATTGAGGTTTTGCTGTGTTTCATTCTGTCATTGTTGTTGGGCCATTTGTTTATATTTTGGTTTTGTATGCTTATACTGTATATGAAACCCGGATTAGGTAAAGACTAGAGATTACAAAAACAATTTATTTTCCTAAATTTATAGATTTAAAAAAAAATAATTCTTTAAAAAATTCCTGCAACCTGGATCTGTTCAAAATATGAGGATAACATATTTTTTAAAACTTTGTCTTTAGTAGCTAATACTAAGAAAAACTAGATGGGACAAAAGTTTAATAAACGTTTCTTTAAACTTACAACTCCTTTAGTAAATATTTCCTTTTCCAATGTTTTATTGATTTGTTTATGCATTTTTGACATCCTTTTCATCTTATTGTTTCCATCAATGAATTAAAAAAAATGAAGTGATTACAATGTTAAGGTTTTAGTCTTAAACATCATATATTTGGAAGGATATACGTACTAAGAATATTAGATCAACAGGGAATTGTGCTTTGTCATGTACTTCTGATCCTCAAATGTGATTATGAAGAAGAATATTAATATGCTGGTATGCTTGGCTACTGATTCAAAGGTTCTGCTATGTCCATTAAATTTATTACTAATATTTCAGGTACTTTTCTTGTTAGAAAATAATATAATAAATATTGTGAGCAGGATTGACTGTGATAATGATCTGTGTTTATTTTTTCCTTTGTTTTCTTCTCAGTTTTCTTTTTTTTAAATTTTAATTGTGGTTTGAGTTCACAGATAAAGTTGGTTTTCCATTTATCAATTCATATATGTCTTCATTTAACCTTATCCTTTCCAGTTCCTCCCAGTGCTTATAATTTCCTTTCCTACCTTGGGTGCATGATCTTTGGGCAAACGTTGCCCCTTTGATCTTGTATGGTTGATTGTTCTAAGGAGTACAGACGTCACAGGTTTTATTGCTCATCTTATAGGCTGTCTTGTGTTTGGATAAAAGTTGAGTCATGTGGCAACTTTAACTCTAGGCTTGAAGGTTGTCTTAATGGCCATGGTCTCAGGGGTTCCACCAGCCTGTATTGGATCATTAAGCCTGATTTTTTAATACATATAATATAAAATTTTACATTGTATATCAAATTTTATATATCTATAACATTTTGAAGTTTGTTTCATATTTTTCTCCCACTCTAGCCAGGATCTCCTTTTGTGATCCCTTTCAGAATGACTGAGGGTGTAACTGGTACCATTTGGCTAATGGTTTTAGGGTGTGCAGCCTGGGGTTCATCGGCTCCATTAGTCTTTTGGACTAATTTTTTGATGTTCTTCACTCTTCTTTGTGTAACTTAAGTGGTTTTACTTAATCGAGTTAGAACAAGGGGATACTGTAGGGCTTCAAATCAGCAAAGGTGTGCATCAAGGGTGTATCTTCTTAGCATACTTACTCAGTTTGTGTGCTAAGCAAATAATTAGACAAGCCTGATTATATAAACAAGAAGGCAACATCAGAAGTGGGGGAAGGCTTATTAACAACCTGCAATATGCAGATGATACAACCTCTTTTGCTGAAAAAGGAGGACTTGATGAATTTACTGATCAAGATCAAGGATGATAGCCTTCAATATGGATTACAACTCAATTTAAAGAAGACCCAAATACTCACAACTGTACTAATAGATAGCATTCTGATAAATGGAGAAAAATTAAAGCTGTCAAGGCTTTTATCTTGCTTGGACCCCTAATCAATGCTCACGAAAGCAGTAGAGAAGTGCTCAAATGCTATACAACATTGGGCAAATGAATTGCACACCTCTTTAAAGTGTTGACAAGGAATGTTACTTTGAGGACTAAGTGGAGCCTGACTCAATCTATGGTATTTTCAATTAATTGCCTAATATGCATGTGAAAGTTGGACACTTAATAAGAAAGACCAAAAAGAATTGAGGCACTTGAATTGTGGTTCTGGCAAAGCATATTGAAAGTATCATGGGGTGCTAAATGGCCAAACAAATCTTTCTTAAAAGACTTATGGCGAGAGTGGTCTTTAGAGGCAATTGTGAAAAGATCTCATCTTACGTACTTCGGACATGTTGTCAGAAGAGAGGGGAATCATGTTGGATAAGGCAGAGACGCAGTTAAAAAGAGGAAGGCCACCAAGCAGATGGATTGACGCAGTGGCTTCAACACTGGACTTCAGTACAGGACTAAGTGTGAGGACGGCACAGGACTGGTCGGTGCTGAGCACTGGGTAGCTATAGGTTGGAACTTACTTGATGACACCTAACAACAATAACAACAGAAAAACCCCTCTTCCTTAATGCAGTTAGCTTTAGTTACTTAACGTAACGAAATCTTTGGAGTCTTTATACTGTTCTCAAACACGGACAGTTGGCTGCACCTAGAGGGCCACATAACTGTTTAGAGTCTTCTCTTATTCATCCGTTAGTGATTAAAAGATGGACCCTTCTCTATAGTTAGTCAACTACTGTAGTCCGAGACTGGCCTGAGTCCTTATTGCTCTGTTTGCTTGCTCATGGTCAAGAGATGTTCCCTGTGGTTACTGTGAGTTAATGTAAAATGTCTATATGTGACTCTCCAAAGTGTAAATTCCAAAGTAAAAGATATATATTATCTATATATCCTGATTTCAAACAGGGTACCACAAAGACAGCCTGTAATGCTGTTGATCTCCTCTCTGGTTACTTCTAAATGAACTTCTCTTTCTTCCTCTAATCTGGAGTGAGAATATTAGTCACACTATTCCAGGGTAAATGACCTACATTTGCTCTGGACAAGGTGGTATCAATAAGCTCTTGAGATGGCTGCTCCATTTGATCTTGACTATCTTTTTGTCCCCTTCTTTTTCTCAAAGTAAAATGAGTCATTCTTAAATTATAGTAGATATTTTTTTTGTAAATTATCTAATGCTATATTTACAGCACATTTCTGATCCTGGAGTGTGCAAAGAGTGTGAAAAGTTACACTTCAAAGCAAATAATTGCAAAAGAGAAAAGGAATGTGAATGACCTTCCATTAATACACTCAATTACTCATATATTTATTAGAACAATAGTTATTAAGTTGCCTACTATGTGGCTGCTATCAGGTGATGAAAATAAATTGTTGAATTCTTGGCTCTTGGATCTTAACATCTGTTATATAAATCTATGAAACTTAATTGAGAAATCCATTTGCTAAGTAAAGGTAACCCCATAAAGAATATTTGTGACTCATGGTAGATGTTCAATAGGTCCTTATTATTATTATTGTTATTTTACTTTTTGGCCTATAAGAGACAAGATAAAACTTGATAGTTTAGAAGAAAAATCTTCTTGGTATGACTCAGGAACAAGCACAAATGGATCATGTGACTTTGCAAGACATCCGTCATATTCACAATCCTAATGATTTTGTGATATTAAACAGATAATCTA